AAAATTCTATATTAATTTATAGTGGTTAAGTGACATTGTTATTAAATAACAACTATATTAATCATAATTGGAAAATCTTACAATAATGCACCGACCCCCAGTATTTATAAAAAAAATTAATTTTTTGTGTGCATAATTGTCTCGATTTTTGTAAATACGGATGCCCAAACGCGACATTATCAGAAAATAAGAGCGATAAATTTCAATCAATTTGAAAACATGATAAAACACGATTCTGTCGCCAGAATGAAACAGGGACAACTCATATCGAGTTATACTTATTATAAATCCCAGGTTGGTTGTGTGTGTGTGTGTGTGTGTGTGTGTGTGTGTGTGTGTGTGTGTGTGTGTGTGTGTGTGTGTGTGTGTGTGTGTGTTCGTTTATATATGGGATTGGATTTCCTACATTTTTCAACCGATTTCAACAAAACTTCACTTTTTTTTTTTTGGCAGGTAGTGTTTCTTATTGTCTTGCACACTTTTTTCTTTATTTTTACATTCAGAATGCTTTAAAAATTCCATTTACAAGACAATTGTTTATAATAAAATTCTGTTCAATCGGTAGACTCATAACGATTGATAACAATGTTTTTATTCGAGTTTGGGTTTGACCAATTCGTAAAAAAAAAAAAACTAATGATGGTCGATACTTGATCTATCTCTTACTGTTACATCCCCGGGCAACGCCGGGCTCTTCTGCTAGTTGTTAATATATTTTTGTTTTCTGCCCTAGACTTGTAGTTCTCAACCTTTTTTTTTTTTTTTTTTTTTACCCATGGGCCACTTTTACTGTTAATTTTATTTGGTGGATCCCCATAACCGTCCGATGAAAAAAAAGAATCTTTATATAATTTTCCTTCAGATATATAATCTTTTAGTATCTGTCTATATTTCTGAGATGAGGTATTATATACATTATTTACATTATTCGGACTATTGTCCTCATCTTTGTTGCCATGTTTATTACAACGTTTCGGCCGTTGTACGCTCCGGCCTTCTTCAGGTGTTTGGAATGTCGAACTGAACCCTTTATTTCGCTCACTCGGGTATACTCTTCATGGCACGTAAAACTAGAACAGTCTACCCCAGTGAGCGAAATAAAGGGTTCAGTTCGACAGAGGGCGGTGATCTCCCTTCTCTCTCCATATGTGGTCAGCCACGCCTGATTTTTCTTCTTCTCCTCGTGTTACAGCTTTTTGGTGTTCTTGAAGCCTTACCTTGAGTGGGTGGCCTGTCTCCCCTTTATATTCCTTTCCGCAGCTGCACGGGATAGCGTACACACAGTCTTTAGTCATGTTCTCCTCTATGGGGGAGCCTTACTCGGGAGAGATATCTGCGAAGTATCGTCCAGCTTTTGAAGGTTGTCTTGATGGACCGCAGATCCTTTGTATTTTCTCTGATATCCCCTTCACATAAGGCAGACAGACCGTTTTCTGAGTGTTGTTGTTCTCCTCCTCTTGTACCCGCCTATCCCAGTTTGGGGGTGGGGGGCTGCTACCATGTACCCAGGGTAGTTGTTACGTTGTAGGGTACTACTTATACTGACCAATTCTTTATCTAACGTCTCTGGGTCGCCTCTTATGACTTTTGCTCGGTGTTGTAAGCAACGGACGATCCCTTTCTTTACGCTGTATGGATGGTGGGAGTTGAAATTGAGTTACTGTCCGGTGAATGTCGGTTTACGGTATACGGATGTCTTAAACCCAAGCTCTGTTCGAGATATTAGAACATCCAGGAATGGCAGTGTGTTGTTACTCTCTTTCTTCAAAAGCTTGACGACACTTCGCAGATATCTCTCCCGAGGAGAACATGACGAAAGACTGTGTGTACGCTATCCCATGCATTTGCGGAAAGGAATATAAAGGAGAGACAGACCGCCCCCTTAAGGTAAGGCTTCAAGAACACCAGAAAGCTGTAACACGAGGGGAAATAGAAAAATCAGGCGTGGCTGACCACATATGGAGAGAGAAGGGAGATCACCGCCCTCTGTGGGATCATGTTGAGATCATAGACAAGAAACACCATTGGAAAATTCGTAAACTTAAGGAATCAGCATATATGCTAGGCCACAAAAATCTCCTGAGCCGGCATAGAGATAAATACAATATGGGAACCAGCAATAAGGAGTGCCAGAGAAAAGCAATGATAACAACATAGTTGCAATATGAGCTCTGGTAAAAACATGAAATGATAATAGCAAAATTGCAATATGAGCATTGGTAAGAATGGTTGCTGAAGACATTAGATTTATAATACCCAGAAATTCATACCCAGATGTCCTCAAGAACACATGGCACAGTGACAGGACCCAAAGAGTGTGAGTTCAATACCCGGTTAAGGCAGAGGGAAAATAACTGATAACTGACATCAAACATGGCACTTGAGCGAAATAAAGGGTTCGGTTCAACCACCTGAAGAAGCGTACAACGGCCGAAACGTTGTGATAGATAATACCTCATCTCAGAAATATAGACAGACTCTAATTCGTTGTTTCCGAAAA